CACTGATGTTAGGAGAAGAGAGTTAGAGTTTAAAGTAGATGATTGGGTGTATTTGAAAGTTTCACCCATGAAAGGTGTTATGAGATTTGGTAAAAAGGGGAAACTTAGTCCCCGGTATATTGACCTTTACAGAATATCGAAAAGGGTAGGTAATGTAGCTTATGAGTTGGAGCTACCATAAAAGTTAACAGCGGATCATCCGGTGATTTACATCTCCATATTGAAGAAGTTCATGGACGATCCTTCATTGAACATACCAATCGAAGATATTGGGATCATGGATAGCTTGTCTTATGAAGAGATTCCTGTTCAGATTCTAGATCGCCAAGTTCGCAAGTTAAGAACAAAAGAGATAGCATCAGTCAAAGTTTTTTGGAGGAATTAATTTGTTGGGGAAGCTACTTGGGAAGCTGAGAAGGACATGAAGAAGAGATATCCACATCTCTTCGAATCCGGAGAAGTTCTAACTTAAGGTACTAATCCTTTTCTTGGTATTTAATTATAAGTTGGCATGTTGTTTTTTTCATTTGCTTGTTGGCTGTCTGAACTGAATGATTGATGTTACACCATTAGCCTAGTAAGAGTAATCTCATTCGAAGACAAATGTTCCCAAGGGGGAGATATTGTAACATCTCGCAAATTGAAATAACTAGGAAGAAGTTAAGAATTGGAAATAGAGATTTTTGGAATAATGAAAATCTGGAAATTTGTTTAAGTTAAGTTAAGAATGAGTTTTGGTAAATTTCAAACGACCATAAATACAAGATCAGGATGAGTTAGGTGTGTTTCCAGATACCGTAGGAAATATCGTTGAATTATCTTTCCAATGCTGCCAAGTTTGCGCTATTCCGAGTTCATATGAGTGAGATATGCCCTTTGAAAGTTGGGCTGTTTTGATAAAGAAAGTCCAATCCGGATTTTGGAAGGGTAGTTTGGTCTTTTCCTTACCCTATTATTTTAATTTCATTTTTGGTAATTTTCTAAGGATCTAAACTGAAATTGGTCAGTTTACGCTATTGAAATTAGAGTTAGGGTTTTTGGAGAAAGAACGCAAGAAAAGAAAAAAGAGAAGAAAAAAGAATAAAGTTCAAGATTCGTCGATTTCTTGGAGGTCTGCGTGTGGATTTCGTTAAGGAGTGATACCTATGAGGTATGTGAGATCACATAGCATTGGGTTAGTTCACCCACGCTCCAAACATGATTCAATTCAGCAAAGCATATTATATTTGGAAGTAAATCCTTTGAGTTCTTGATGAAATTTGTTTGAATTCTTGTGGGTTGTGTTGTTGAAGTTTCCTTGAGTTTAATTCATGTTTTTAGGTGTGATTTCGAGTAGAATATATTGTATTTTGAGGGTGTAGTCGATTCTAAACGTTTAGGGAAAGAACCATTGTAGTTTAAAGGGTTTAGAGATGAAAAACGAAGGAGAAATATCGGGGATTTTCTGGGCAGGGGATTGGGGAATCGCGCCTCACAGAGCGCCCCACTTCAGAGTCTAAAGTTTGGGAGTTTGGGAGTTGGGGCGATGCGCCAGCCAGAGCGCCACAACTTCAGCTCTGAAGTTTGTGCTTTGGCGCTCCGCGCCTCTTAGAGCGCCAGGGACGCCAGTTCTTCCCATTTCTTTCCCAACTATCCGTACTAGTTCCCTAGCAATGTACCTATGTTTTCTAGTTGATTCCAACACTCTTAGGTACATATAAACATCATGAAATCATCCATAAACATGATATCATGAACCTTGAATCCATAATTCAATTCAAGGAAAGTTAAGAGTCAAGTCTAGAAGTTAAGAAGCTAGTCAAAGAGAAGTTTATAAAGTTTTCAAAAGTCTTTCACAAACGTTTTAACTTTGTTTTAAGACATAAAGCTCAAGTTGAGTAAAGATTGAAGTTTATCTTCAAAGAAGTATATGGGGACTATGTATTCCCAAAGAGTTTAAAAATAATTTCAAATTTGAGCAAGAAAGGGATCATCAATTCCAAGAGAGCTTTTAAGCTAAATTTTGAGTAATTATCTCAAACCAAAGAAACAAGTTTGGTTTAAAAATATATGAGCTAAGTTTATTTTGGGAGTAGTATTAAGCACCGATAATGAGGATGCGAGTTCATATTAACTTAAGTCTCCATAAACCATGTAGCCATCATGAGTAGTAAAGGATCATACTTTTTAGATGACTCCTTAAGTTGTTTTTTAGCATAGACTAGTGGATCCACTTAGTTAAGCTTTCTATATGATGGAAAAGTATATGACAGTTCTGGCAGCGTGGGCAAGACGTTGTATCACCACTTAGGCTCATAGTGGTGGTTGTCGGTTAGAAAAACTCCCACAGAAACTATATTACTTTATTATATGAGTAAAGTTGAGTTTATTATTGCATTTTCTTTAATGAACTAAGTTGTCTTCCACTAATTTTTACAAGCTTTCTATATATTGCATATGCTTTATTGCTTTATTATGAGTTAAGTTATTCAGGAGTTGAGTAAAGTCAAGGTAAGCATTCCTTTCAGATTAGTTGCAAGCCTATGTTGTGTTTAGCATTTCAACTCGCATACTTATGAGTTAAGTTATTCAGGAGTTGAGTAAAGTCAAGGTAAGCATTCCTTTCAGATTAGTTGCAAGCCTATGTTGTGTTTAGCATTTCAACTCGCATACTCATACATTCAATGTATTGATGCCAGTTGGCATACATCTTCTTATGATACAGACGCAGGTAACCAGGATCATCACCCAACGCCTTGTTGATCCAGTTGAGCACTCAGAGTTAGTTGGTGAACCTCATTGCATTCCAGAGGACTCCTTTTGCTTTGCTTTCAGTATTTCATTATTAGGATGATCGGGGGTCTTGTCCCGACGTCCCTCTTTGTTTTAGAGGCTTCATAGACAGTTAGTAGTTCAGTTGCCTTTACATTATCATTTCATATGTTAAGACTTGAGTTGCCATTTTGGCCAAGTTGAATTTTGACTTTAAACATTCTAAGTTATTTTATTTAACAATTGAGTAAGTGCATTTGATCATTGTAATAATGCTTAGAGTCTTCCGCTAAGTAAGTAAGCTAGGTCAAGGGTTCGCTTGGAGCCAACAATGGTTCTCGAGTGCCAGCCACGTCCGGGGTGTAGGCTCGAGGAGTGACATATTAACTATTACATTCATTAATCTATATTTTTTTTGTAACCTACAAGAATTTTATAAGTTAACTATATTTAAAATAGGGAAAAATCATATTTAAGGTGAGCTAATGGAGAAGAAAAGGTAGAAGTTAGCCGATACCCATCCGATAAGTGTTTGATAAGTGCTAATGAATTATTAAAATAACCAATATCTTATTTGTTGGCTAATGAATTAGTAAATTTAAAAACTGATATCGATTAGGCCAAACAGTTACGTGAAATTATCCGCTCGATTCGTCCGATAAGAAGCCCTACTACTGAGTGACATAATTATATGTAAATAAGTTTTAGAGTGAAGTGTCAAAAAATTACCTAACGAAATATTTCTTTTTGTTGAGTTTAGACCTAAACTATTGGGAGTGTGAGAAAACACACCTCAACTATTTTTTTTTAAAATTAAAGTTCCCCTAGTTAACAGGAGTGTTATATATCATGAGAATAAGTACACGATGGGGGTTTGACCTTACCTCAACATACAACACAAAGGATAAAACTTTTATCCTATGAAAGGGAGGGTAAGGAGATGGCTATCACACTAAACCCCCGCACATATAAGAAAATAAATTAGCTAACAAAAAAGTTTGCCTTGTCGTATTTGAGTCTAATGGATGGCATTTGACTTTTGTCCAATTGATAAGGATCTTTTGCCCCATTAGGAATCTGCCAAAAGGAGACAAAAACATGGTTGTTTTGGTTGGTGTTTGCCTTCTTAGCCAAGTAATCCGCAACCTTATTGGCCTCTCTTAGGCAATGTCACTCGTAAGTTTGAGAAACAAACCTCAAGTAATATATGATGGTATATGTATTACACTCTTCTTATTTATAAAAAAAATTGCAACGTGAAAAATAATTTTACTGTGGCAAAAAGTTAAAAATTAAAATGGAGAACAATGGAGGAGGGGGAGGTTGAAAAAAAATGCAATCGAGGATAAGAAATGAAGAAAAATGGTTGAGAAATGATGAAGAAGAAGGGGAGAGTTTAAGGGTTCAAAATCAATTGAAAAAAAATAAAAAAATAAATGTGTTTGGAAAAAAAAGGAAAAAAAGGAAGTCATGTAGATGAAGCTTCAAGGTCATACACATCTAAGTGTATGCGAGTACACATATTTAGTTCACTCAGTAATGAAGTGTGTTTCTCAAATTAATGAGTGAAAGTATAAGTATATTTCTCACACTTCCAATAGTTTAGGTATGAAACTAAAAAAAATGTATTTTTGATACTTAACTCTAAACAACTAACCCTAAAAAATGGGTGGAGAAACCTTTGTTACACCAAGCACATACCAAAAAGAAAAGGAAGTCACCAAGATAGTAGAAAGAGCACAATCATATCAAAGTGAGGAGAAAAACCGGGAAAAAGAGAAGGAACGGAAGAAGAACACAGCGCAGACATCAAGAGAAGATCATAGTAGACAAAAAGAAGAGGGGAAGAATGAGATGGACACGGAGGGGACTTTGGTAATATATGAAGCCAACATTGATGAAGTCCTTCCACTAGCAATGTTGAAAGACAGTCAGGAAGATGCACACGAACCTAATAAGGTAAAGAGAGACAAAGATGATTTCAAGCAGATTATAGCAAAGGTTACCATAAAAGGGGATTTGTCACCGAAACAAACTGGAAAGTTGAAGGAATTCCACACTAAACCGAAGAAAAAAGGAGGAGAACTACATGCAGATCATGTATCATCAAGGTCTAAAAGAATGATTATCAAGAATTCAAAATATCAATGAGAGCTCTTATATGGAATATAATATCAGTGAATACTTAAAAGGCGTTCACTAGACTAGTGAAGATGCATAAACGATATCAATTCTATTTTGTCGCTTTAATGGAACCATTTGAAGATAGTCAAAACCTGGAGGAATTCAGACGAAATTTAGGGATGAAACATGCTGCAGTGAATACGAGTGGAAAGATCTGGGTCTTCATAGATGAATTTATTGATTATGAAATTGTAAGGGATGAGGAACAAATGCTGACGCTGAAATTCCATAATCAAGAATTAGACAGTGATGTAATAACATCCATGGTATATGTTAAATGTACACAAGGAGAAAGATTGCAACTTTGGGAATCAATAGAGGATCTAGCAGATAGTATAAGATTGACATGGCTAGGCGGAGGGGATTTCAACGTGATTAGTAGTGAAGAGGAACAGTTGGGGGGTCGACCTGTTACTGAAGGAGAAGTCAGGGACTTCAGCCACTGTATTAATGTATGTAATCTAGAAGACCAAGGATACAAAGGAGGAAAGTACAGGTGGTGGAATGGTAGAACAAACTCAGAATGTATTTTTAAAAGGTTGGATCGAGTTGTGTGCAACGACAGAATGCAAATTACATTCCCTATTATAGAAGTTGAACATTTGGTGAGAAGTGGATCAAATCATACACCATTACTAATTACATTCAAGACCAGTAAAGTGAATGTGGTGAGACCTTTTAAATTTCTGAGCTTAAGGTTGAAGGAGAAGTCCTTTAAGGAGGTGATCATTCAAAACTGGAAGGTTGACTTTGAAGGAAATCCATTTAGTTTATTTCACTATAAACTAAAAAAAGTGAAGAAAGTGCTTGCACAGTGGAGCAGGGAGACATTGGGAAACATCTTTCAGGAGATTACAACTTTGGAGGAAATCATTAAAGTACAAGAGATGCAGTTTGAAGCAGATCCATCTGAAGCCAATAGGGAAAATTTATACAAATACCAAGCTAATTTGAAGAGGCACTTGCACATGGAAGAAGATTTCTGGAAACAAATCACTGGGATGGCATGGTTTAAGGATGGAGAAAGGAATACGAAATTATTTCATACATATGTGAAAGGGAGAAGGAAGAGATTAAGAGTCAATAGAATTCAAAATGATGAAGGGGAGTGACTGGAACAACAAGAAGATATTGCAGAGGTGGCAGTAGAATTTTTCAAGAGGCAATTCACTAAACAGGCAGATCATACAGATTATGAGAAGCTAAATGAATTACCTATAATGATTACTGAAGAGATGAATGAGGAGTTGCAATGTATACCAACAATAGAGGAGGTCAGGATGACAGTGATGAATCTAAACAAAGATAGTGCAGCGGGACCGGATGGAATGACGGGGGCTTTCTTTCATCATACATGGGATATCATTGGGAAGGATATATACAATATGGTTAGAGCTTTCTTTGGAGGGGCGGAATTGCCTAGATTCATCACTCACACTAACTTAGTTCTTATCCCTAAGAAAGTAGAGGTAAATACTTTCTCTAATCTAAGACCTATATCATTAAGTAACTTTATGAATAAAATATTTTCTAGAATTATTCATGAAAGACTTAAAAGAGTGATACCAGGGATTATATTCCTAGAACAGGTAGGATTAGTTCAGGGAAGAAGCATAGCAGAGAATGTACTACTGGTGCAAGAAATTGTGACAGAAATAAGGAAGAGAGAACAAACACCAAATATGGTCATTAAGCTAGATATGATGAAAGCTTATGATAGAGTGGAGTGGTTATTCTTGACCAAGGTACTTAGAAGATTGGGTTTTGGAGAGAGAATCATTGACATGATATTTAGGTTGATCTGCACAAATTGGTACTTGATCCTTATCAACGGTCAGCCTAAGGGATTCTTTCAATCATCTAGAGGACTGAAACAAGGGGACCCGCTCTCACCCATTCTATTTATTGTAGCAGCTGAAGTCATGTCTAAGTCTCTCAATGCTCTAATCAAGAGGGAAGACTTTAAAAGATTTGGGGTGCCCAGAGGAAGCAGACAACTAAACCACTTAGCCTTTGCAGATGATATGATCATACTATGCAAAGCGGAAGTTAGAACAATGCAACTGATCACAGAGACTTTAAGGAGGTATGAGGACGTATCAAGGAAAAAAGTAAGTAAAGAGAAGAGTGTCATTTATTTACATCATAATATCTCAGGAGGTGATATAATAGTCGCAGAAGTGGCAATAGGTATCTTAAGGAAGGAATTTCCATTCACATATCTTGGATGTCCAATTTTTTATAAAAGAAAGCAGAAGGCATATTATAATCTGATGGTACAAAGAATTGGGGAAAAGATTCAGGCCTGGAAAGGCAAATTACTATTTTACGGGGCAGAGCTATACTTATTAAACATGTATTACAGAGCACTCCTACTCATTGCCTATCAGTGATAAACCCGCCGAATAATGTTATAATGCAGGTGCAGAAAATGACGGCCCAATTTTTCTGGTCCAGTTATATTGGAAGAAAAGGAAAACAATGGACAAAGTGGAGTAATTTATGTGTTTCGGAGAAGGAAGGGGCTTAGGAATTAGACTCATGACTGACAATTCAATGGCCTTGTTTTGCAAATTATGGTGGAACTTTTGAACAAAACCATCATTATGGAGTGACTATATGAGAAACAAATATTGTAAGAACACTCATGCTAATGAAGTTATGTGGAAAATTGGTGGTGGAGGCTCACAGGTGTGGAAAAAAATGTTGCAAGCATGGGAGCTAGTTAAGCATCAAATTTTATGGAAATTGAAGAATGGGGCAGTCATAGTATGGCATGATAACTGGACAGGACTAGGGGATCTTTATACCATTACGGGAGAAAATTATGAATGGGATGATACCTATCAGAAGACAGCTGACTTAACCAAACAGGGTGGATGGGATATTGACATTCTTAATGATATCCTCCCGCAAGAATGGGTGAACCACATTATACAACATATTCATCTACCTGGCAGTAATTTGGGGAATGATACACCTTGTTAGATGTTGGAAACAAGGGTAAGTTTTTCAGTTAAATCAGCATGGCAGTATATTAAACATAAAAAATAGCCTAATAGAATTTACAAGTGGATGTGGACAAAGGGAATCCCTTTTAAAATGGCTTTTACAATGTGGAGACTATGGAAATTCCGAATTCCGGTGGATGATAGAGTGAGGAGATGGGGATTGGAAGGTCCATCTAAATGTTGGTGTTGCAATAGGCCTGTAAAAGAAACACTCTCTCATGTGTTTCTACGATCCTTTACTGCTAACAGGACTTGGTCCTATTTTTGTTCTTTTGCAGGATATAGCACGGAAGGACTTAATTTGAGAGAAGTTATAATGATATGGTGGGGAGCAGAAGTCCATACTATAGAGCTTTGCCCAGCTTTATCATTTAGGAGCTGTGGAGAAGAAGGAAAAAAATGAAGCATGAGGAAAAAAAATCTCAGTGGCAAGAATTATTCACAATGTAACCAGAAGCTTGTTCATGATGTTGCAAATGAGAAAGCCAAACATGACAAGACCCAGGGACTGGCCAGGAATGATAAGAGAACTGGAAACTTACTGTCCTAAAATAAAAGACCAACAGGTGGTATGGGAATTTCCACCAGAAGGTTGGATCAAATATAACACAGACGGGGCATCTCAGGGAAACCCGGGTCTAAGCTCATATGCTTTCTGTTTACGAGATGACAGAGGAGACATTCACTAAATAGAAGGAGCTACTTTGGAGAATACTACTAACACAGTTGCGGAAATAAAGCAATTTTAGAAGCATGTAAGCATAGCAAGAAGTCACAGTATAACAACATAATCATTCAGACGGACTCAATTCTATTATGCAAGGTACTAGAAGGTAAATGGGCTGCTCCATGGTTAATTTCAGATATGGTAGAAGAAATTAAATCATGTATACAGGGTAAACATCATGTTTTTCAGCATATAATGAGGGAGGGGAACAAGCTAGCAGACTATCTAGCTAATAAAGCCATTGACCAAGGAGATTACAGATATACAAATTTTAATAGCATGGAAGGTATGGGGAAAAAGATCATTAACAGTGATAAATCAAAATCCCCCTACTTAAGAGTGCCACAGATAAAGGGATAAGGGGAATGGGAAAGATGCAGCATAAGCATTGCACGAGCATACCTCAAAGACGACAAAAATGGCGAAATGCTACCTATCATATTCTAACCCAGCCAGTAAAAAAGGATCTCAGCAAACGGAAGGATCTGAGGGAAATTTTGGACGGCCAAATCTGGATGAAGCTTTAGCATTCATAAGTGGAGGATTTAAGCAATGTGTACCACCTGCAGGAAGGCAAAGGTGAGAGGTGAACTGAAAGAGATCTGCATAAAAGTGAAGACTTACCAAATACGAAAACCACTCATCCATGGACAAGATCCAGCTGCAAAAGAGGAAGAACACGACCCTTTGAGCTTCAGAGCATAACTGGAATGAGAAAAGGGAATGAATCGAAATCGTGTGTTCATCCAGGGAGGTAACATGATTTTGAAGGAAAGTGACGGATAAGAAGAAAGAAAGACAAGGTGGATTAAGTGGATTTTTTATTTAGGAAACACTGCCTAGTTAACATAGATTCACATGAACGTAATTGGGTTTGGACATTAGGAAAGGTGGATTAGAGATTATTTGTTTTTTGTTATATTTTGGGCTTGTGTTGGGATTGGGCTTTGCCCGAGGAGGTGTATGGGGGTGCAATTGTCTCTTTCAAGTTTATTAAAAAAATACCACAATTGTTTTAAAAAAAACACTAACCCTAAACCCACGCTTTTCTTGTCTCTCATGGAGATTTGAGGGAGGCAGTTTTATGGTTGTTCTAGTTGTGTCCCAGCCTCATGCTGGGGACAAAACACCACCACAACACATCCAAAATATTACTGATTCAACACATAAACCAACATACATTGCACAACTTCAAGCCAAGTCTTCTACCAGGCCTATATCAAAAACTGAGTTGAAACTAATTAAATTCATTCAGGGAGAGCCAACCATCGAATTCACCATGGATGAAGTTAATGAATTTAGCAAAGAGGAAGGACAACATCAAGCCGTTATTCTCAATTTTTCTTACGAAAAACCAGATTTTGTATGAATTGTGCAAGGTTATTCCAAGCAACTCTATATTAAAGGTCATTGTAACATTGGACAACTTGAGTTTCGTCATCTCTTGATCAGGTTTGATTTAAATGAAGACTTCGTTCAAGTTTTGTCTAGAAATTCTGGTTATATCAAATTCAATGGTGAAGAGTTTCTATTCAGAACACTTCTTTGGACTATATGGTTCAATCCTAAGGAAGAAACATCAAAAACATTGACATGGATATCTTTTCTAGATTTGCCACCAAATCTTTTTGCCAAAAAATCACTTGTATCAATTGCTTCAGCCGTTGGGAAACCAGTTGCTCTAGATAAAGCCACTCAAGAATGTACCAGGCCAAGTACTGCTAGAGTTAAAGTCATTCTAGATCTACTGGATAAGCATCCAAAAAAAATTAAGTTATTCTTCGTGGACAAAGATTCAGGCAAAGTTATTGAGCATTATCAAGAGTTTGTTTATGACAATCTCCCAAGCTATTGTATACACTGTAAACGACAAGGGCATGATGAAAATAGTTGTTGTGTGTTTCTTGGCAAGGTTGGTGCTAAAAATCAAAATGATGCAACGGATAAAGGTACAGATGTGGAGCAATATCAAGGTGATGCAAGGGAGATTATAAATGCTAAATTTCAAAGCAAAAGCAACAAAGAAGAACATCGGCAGTTGGTCCCGGATGATAATTCTGGTGAAGGAAGAGATTCTCAAAATAATTTGGGGGTTGTCAGGGATGCTACTGTTGATCGAGCTGTTGTAAATAGTTTTGAAGAAACTACAACTTTTAACTATAATAATGAAGAGAATCTAGAGAACAAAGGCAAATCGATTGAGGCCACTAGGCTGGGTGTTGGAAAAGAGGAAGTGTTGGGTTCGCCTAATGTAGTTGCGGCTAAACAAGACCACTCCATTGCAGAAAACTCCAATAACGAATGGACTTTGGTCTCACATAAAAAAAATGGTGTTTCTAAGTCCTCAAACAATCAGATTTTGCACCAAAAAAAT